GTTTGTCCGACGCAAGTATTGACTGTAGTTTGAGGCGTGTTTTCATGAGTCCGGGCTCACAAAGAGTATACAATAACTTGGAATGCGTTCTTGTAATAAGCATTAAATAATGCTAAAATGGGACGTTTTCAATGCCTCACTGCTCCTTAACGAGCATGGGCACCCCCCGTTTTTATTTTATAATTAAAGTTCTCATATGATAAATATTCAGTGGACAAAGTTTGAACGAAAATCTATTGACAGTTTTATTTCAGGGGAATTACCTTAACCTGCCGAACCAAACTGATTCAAACGCCGCTCCTCTGCCATACTTAACTCATCAGTTAGGTTCGGCGCATGAATGGAGCGGCGTTTGGAACGGGCCTCAGTCAGTTATTTTGGCCACGCACAAAAGTACCTTTAAATGGAAAGAAACTTGAAAATAATAGTTTACCAAGATACTATCAGATCTATCATAATCTCTTACTAAGCTGTTAAAAAGCCAAAGAGATAATTTTAAACCATAAAGGAACAAGGATGGTTAAGGATGAAGACGACTAACACAAATTAACAAAAGCCCGCTGAGAGGACCTGTGGTTACTGGATAGTGAATAACCACAATGGTACAAAAAAGAGTTGCAGAGTTTAGTTTTATTGTAAAATATTTGTTTTCAAATGTAAATGCTCAACACATATGTTCTCTGCATAACTGTGCGCAGTATTAGGTACCACTTTACGATGCAAGGATGGGAAGGCCAGGACGGGAACGGCAGTGGACGCGGTAAACTTTCGCTAGCCCGTCGAGTAGCCAAAGACAAAATGCTTTTTCGTGTAGGACGGTGACGTCAATTACTCGATCTACATAAAAGCTTTTCATAAAATCAATGACATCCTTTAGAGATGGTGGAAATCTTATCCTATTAAGCTTAAACGATGGTGGACAGACGACGCTGAAATTATCTTTGTATAATCTTTTATAAAGCAAACATTCCTGATCTGTCAGTATTTTAATAGTATTCCGTATGAAGAGATCTTATCTGGTTCGGATGGCGTTTTGCCAGCAGAGCTTCTTATGACCCTATCGAGGAATCCTGACTTAGGTAGATATTTCAATTTGAATTTTTAAGTATTTATAATGAAGTATTTATAATGAAACAAACATAACATCTAATTCCGGGTAGTATGAGAAAACACAATTTGAGAATGAGCATTTATTTTCTCAATAGATGATGCTTTCAAGGCACGTAACAATCGTATTTCCATTCAAAACCTTTCGAAAACCGCTCAAAATCCCGCAGGATTCTTCGAGAAAAATACTTTGGCACATTCGGTGAAAGTTGTGCCTTGGTTATATGAGAAAGAAAGGTAGAATACTGAGAAAACATTGCGGCTACTCACCAACATATGTGATTATCCAAAGGATGTCGCGTCAAGTCGAAGACCGTGGGAAAACGAGTCTGTAATGTTCTTCGTGCGGTCAGGTTTAGAGATCGTAGTCATTCGTAATGCTCCATAACGTTCCCGTAACGCTATGCTTCTGCTAGTAAATTCGCAATTTTCTCACTCCAATAGTGATATCAATTTAAACGGCGCCAATTTTGAACAGTAAAAGTTGTTATTTTCATCAATACTCGCGTTTTAAAGGTGAAAATCGATCAGAAGAACTTGAGCAAATCTCGAGGTATTTTCGAGCTCGCTTGGTGAGATGTGAAAAGTCACGTACTATCTTACTTACTTACTAACGGATCCGATGACAGTACGGTTACTGGCTTCCAGTAACCACAAAAACGAGGAACTTGAAAAATTAAGTCTATACGTTTGAAGATGTGCAAAACTTGGCATAGCTCCTTTAATGCAAAGATCTATGGCTGGGGTTCACTATTCGTCCCTTGGCTGTTTATCTGTTTCCTTGGGAACAACAACTTTATTGACAACCTCCGGCACACTTTGAAAACCTTTTCTTTATTTTTAAGTGAATAAATGAACTATCTTTGGACAAAATTGGCAGTTAGTCTACAATTGTAACAAATAACGAGGCCGGCCAAACTCATGTTTGATACAAAAATACAGCCGGAAACCACGAACTTTCTAAATTTTTCAAGTGTTCTTAAATATATCGCTGAAAAAAAGAACTTAATAGGTTACCGGTTATAATTCCTCGTGAAAGAATACCCAGGTCTACTTACTCACCATGAAACTGACAAGAAAAAAACTCTTCAGGCTTTCTGGATGGGATTACAATCCATCCTGGGCTAATAACGCGGATATCTATTGTCCTGTTGTAACAGCAGTGTGTCATTAACATTGATATACAGCTCCTGTCTACTGCAACAGACTCATTACTTTCATTGTGGCCTAGGCATTATTCTAACATGGCAATACAATGATTTATACTTAATAATTAACAATGGCGCGATCTACTACTTGTCGAGTGTAGGTTCGGATGTTATTCATGTGCACTATTTAATCTATAAGACTTGCTTGTGTCCTGCCTCCTGTCATTATTCAGTTGCGGGAATTGATCTGCAAATTAAAATAGATTTTCCTTTTAGTACGGACGTATTATACTTTGCTTGTAGCTCGGAGTAATCTAGTAACAAGGTATAGCCTCTCTCTCGATAAAATTCCCCGTTTACGATAAAACGAATTCACGTCCTAATTTACCGCACCGAAAATAGGAATTGGCTACTGCGAACGAGCAATTTTTTCTACTCACCTAGCGAATGCACCGATATTTGACTTCAAGATATTTGTATGTTCCGAAACATGGATCACCAAACACTGAATTGCTGGAATCCAGCTCGCAGCTAGCTTGGTCGTTGCAATTGCCCTGCACAATACCAAGGGAATTTCCAGCATTACAGTTGGTGGTGAGAATACTTGGATGGGGACATGTTTGACCGTCATGTCTGCCGTATGAAGCTTCCAGCACGCTGATTTTCCTTCCATCGTTGCAGCTTATGGCGGCTTTGTTGCCTTCACAAATGGTAACGGCTGGAACACGAATGCACTGGTATTGGACCTGTAGATATTTGAATGTTCCAACACATGGATCCCCGAACACAGAGTTGCTTGAATCTAGCTCACAGCTGGCCTGGTTATCACAACTGCTCTGCACAACAGCAAGAGAACTCCCGGCATGGCAGTTGGTGGTTTGGATACTCGGATGGGGACATGTCTGTCCGTCATGCCTTCCATAAGACGCATCCACGATCTTGATGACTCCTCCGTT